GTGTGTGTTTGTGAGTGTGATTGTGTGTGTTTTGTGTGTGTTTGGGAGTGTGTTTGTGTGTGTTTGCGTGTGTTTGCGTGTGTTTGTGTGTGTTTGTGTGTGTGTGTTTGAGTGTGTTTGGGATTTGCAGTTGAGTTTTCCTCTCTCAAATAATATACACACTAACACACACACACCCATTTTATTACACACATACAAACCACACTCTGATATCGACACCAAACCACACACACACACACACACACACACACACACACACACAATTACAGCTGCATAATTTATCCAATTGCCTCTATAATATGCCGAAGCAGAAAACAGGAATAAAGAGTTTTTGCTTTACAGGCCAAACCTGAGAAAATAACACATCGGATGAAATAAATAATCTTGAAGCCAGCAGAATGAAAGTCTATTAACAAAGGTCGCATCGTTTTACAGTTAAATGACTCTGGGATTAAGAGGGTTTCAATGGGGACCGATCCCCCCGCAGGTCCTGAGAGGAACTATTCTGTGTTACTGGAGTCAAATAGAGTTTTTAAAGGAAATCACAGTGAAATAGTAAAACCACACTAAAAATACACACTTGTGCCAAAATGTGTGCAGTTGGGATTAACTCAAGCAAAATTATCCAAAAAAACCCCCCCTGAAAATATGTCCACATGGTTGCCATCGGTTAAATTGAGTTAAGAGCCCTAAAGTATACATATAACCACAGTTAAAGGAGTAGTTCACTTTTGAAAAAACTATTGCTGATAATTTACTCGCCCCCGTGACATCCAAGATGTCCATGTCTTTCTTTCCTCAGTCGAAAAGAAATTAAGGTTTTTGATGAAAACATTCCAGGATTTTCTCCATATAATGGACTTCAATGGGGACCAAACGGTTCAAGGTCCAAATGAGAGTTTCAGTGCAAACTGTTCAAATGTCTTTAAACGACACCAGACGATGAATAAGGGTCTTATCATGCGAAACGATCGGTTATTTCAAAACTTATTCCAAAAATGTAACTTTTCTAAGGACAAATGCTAGCCTTGCTCTATTCTGTGAGTCGCGTTTGTAACGTCACGTAATACGTAATTACGTTCAAAAGGTCACGGGCGACAGAATCAAAATCGTCCGACATCGTTATTTTTCCTTTTAATTCCTTTTCTGTAAACGGCGTTTGAGTTCGTTTGCACGTTCAACCTATGCGTTCAACTTGTAAACACTGACTTTGTACTTTCGGCTACGTCGCCCGTGACCTTTTGAACGTAATTACGTATTACGTGACGTTACAAACGCGACTCACAGAATAGAGCAAGGCTAGCATTTGTCCTTAGAAAAGTTACATTTTTGGAATAAGTTTTAAAATAACCGATCGTTTCGCTTGATAAGACCCTTATTCATCGTCTGGTGTCGTTTAAAGACATTTGAACAGTTTGCACTGAAACTCTCATTTGGACCTTGAACCGTTTGGTCCCCATTGAAGTCCATTATATGGAGAAAATCCTGGAATGTTTTCATCAAAAACCTTAATTTCTTTTCGACTGAAGAAAGAAAGACATGGACATCTTGGATGACACGGGGGCGAGTAAATTATCAGCAAAAGTTTTTTTAAAAGTGAACTACTCCTTTAACTGTATAAAAATAAAGACAATTACATGAACAAATGAAAATAGAAGCAAAGAAGAGAGATTAAGAATAAAAGAAGAGAGAAATGAAAGAAAATAAGGCTCTGCTCAGGTTTAAATGACGATTGTGTGCGTTTGAGGATTTAATGTTAAATAATGTCTAAAATCCTGACGTGAGCCTGAAAGATTCACTCGAGCTTCTGTTGTGATGCTTCAGAGAGTTTGAGTTTCACGAGTGTCTCGTTGTTCTCATGATGACATACACACTCTTCTGAAACACACACACACTCTCTGTGTGTTAGGATGTCCTCGAGATGCACAATACGAGCCGCTCCTCCTACACACTCCGTCCTCACAAACACAAACACGAATAAACGCGGCCTTGTGCGTCACGACCGGGAAGAACACTTCATGCAGATGTTCTCCGACTGGACAAACATCAATGTGAATACACAACTTATTATAAAAGCGTTTAGAGGAGCGTCTTTGTGAAGCGCACGAGGGCCTCGATAAGCCGAGCGTCTCGCCTCTTTCTTTATCACTGGACTTCCATTAAACTCGTCAACGACAGAACAAAGACACGAGAGACTGAGGAAATCACTCCTTTAACACTGAAACACACGTGTGTGAAGCTAATAATGAACGAGTGGATCTGAAACATGAAAGATGGTGTGATCATGTGATCATCAGACTTTATATCAGTTCATTTAATCTTTTAAACAATAATCTAATGCTTTATGCTGATTTTTTTGGGTAAATTACGAGTCACTTGTTGTTTTTGAAGCATCACCAATAGAGAGACACTCAAAAATACAGTGAATTCAAACGTTAATCGCTCAAAACACACCCCAAGAAGAGCACTGACACACACACACACACACACACACACCCTAAAGGCCTGGTGTGAAGGCCAGAGACACAGACTCATCCATCGCCATCAGCTCTGCAGAAATGAGAAACAGCGAAACCTTCAGCAGGAGGTCAGAGCAGCCTCCAGTTGTCCATCGCTCACACACACACACACACACACACACACACACAGCGTCAGGTACGAGAGATTCAAGATATCGCAGTTTTGAGATACACAAGCAAAGTTGCATTAAAATGAAATAAAGGACAGCTGTAGCAACACACAAAACACATTCTTACGCAGTGTGTGTGTGTGTGTGTCTAATTTAGTAGATCAAGATCTAAAAATCCTTGAAAATATTTATTTCCAAGAAAGAAAGGCAAAGCTGCATGAGATATCAAGATATTAAGTTTTCAAATATTGACTTTAGTCTCACTGCACTGGCACATTTGTTCAATAGTTTAAGTATAAAGAAGTTCAAAATCCCAGCATGAGATCTAAAACATGACCTGTGCCTTTCTACGCCAGTTTCAGGCGCTCCTAGAACATGTTTTCCTGCTTGAATGTTGATTATTCTCCTCATATTCTCCATTGTTGCGGCTCCTCTCTTCCCAGTCTGTCAGTAACGCTCTGTTCACTTCCTGTCTCTATGAAGCCCCTCCTCCTGAAAGCACACTGTGCTCTGATTGGTCGGCTGGAGCGGTGTGTTGTGATTGGTCGAGTGCTGAGTGTTTGGGAAATGTCCCGCCCTTTTCCATAACCGCCAGTTTAACACACTACTAACTAACTCAACCAGGCCCCGCCCCTTTATTCTGCGCATTAATTATTATAATGAGGAATATTGAGGCGTGTTCGTTCCGGGAGAAACTCGAGATACAATGGAGGCGTTTCAGGGACCTAAACTTATAATTGCGTCATCATTGTCTAACCTTCATGTATGACATTCTTCTGTTGAACATAATATGAAAACGTAACCGATAACCGATAATTTTTTATATTTGAAAGCCGATAAACAATATAATGGCCGGTAAATCTAAACCCTAACTTTTAAATAGTTTTTGAGAGCCAAAAACAAATATAATGTTCTGATTATAATTTTTATGTAGCCGATATGAAAGACTTGCGCTTTACTGAAGTGAACATATTTAAAGCGATTCATAATCATCATGTTGAACATCTGAAGCGTCTAAAGCGTCTCAGCTGAAGGACATAATACCTTATTTATCAGCTTTAATATATCGGACAGATTTCATATCGGCTGATACGATAACATTATAAATAAGCATATATCGGCCTATGAGCCGTTCAAATGAGCATATGAAGAGTTCAGATGCAAAAGCCTCTAAGAGCCATTTGAAATTTTCATCTAAAATGATCATTTTTATCAAGCTTGTATATTTAAGTTCAGTAATTTCACTTAAATGATAATTAATAGGTAATCTTCATTCCCATTTAAGTCAAATCAATGAACTTAAATATACAAGCTTGATAAAAATGATCATTCTAGAAGAAAATTTCAAATGGCACTTAGAGGCTTTTGCATCTGAACTCTTCATATATCATCTCAAAGTCACTGAATTTCACATTTATTATTATGAAAAATGCACAAAAATACTATTTTAAATTTTTACATGAATTATACATTTCAAAAAACACGTTTTACTCTAAAACTGCAAGAAAATCAAAGCACTAAACCTAAACCAGGTGTGTTCAAAATTAAAGCCCGACCGATAAAGGATTCTGAAGGCGATACCGATACAAATATTTGTTGGTTTTAAAATCCGATATATCGGCCGATATTTTTCATTTTATTTTTTTCAGGAACGCACAACAAAACATTAACAGATTTCCCTAACATGAGTTATTTGTAGTTATGTATGAGTTTTAATTAAAATAATATGATGATGCATTTTAAAAGGAAACTTGTTTCTTTTATTGTCGCAACAGAACAGAGGAGGAACCAAAGCTCATTAATTAATTAACAAAGCTCATTAAATTCCACTGATGATGGTGGCATTAGCTAGCTTTGTGGTTAGCTAGAATGTGTTGCGCGTTATAAACGAGTGTCAGGGATGGTATAGAGTGTCTTCTGGTGGACAAACTACACAACTCCAACACTCCAACATGACATGGTTGAAGCGCGTTTCATCCATTTTTATTTTATTTCTGAAATATTCATTTATCGGCCATTTTAACTGCCGATACCGATAGTTTGTAAAATGCCTAATATCGGCCGATAATATCGGTCTGGCTCTATTCAAAATATGAGGTTGATATCTAAAAAAAAAAAAAGATCTTTCAGTTCGGCTGCAGTTCCAAACGCTTCCACTAGAGGACACTCGACTCTCGTTCATTTCCAATGCGCTCGTTTCTGACCGCGAGGAGCACAAGTGTGATTGTTGTTTACAGGACCGTTTAACCTGTTCACATCATGATCGGGATTATTGAGCGCCAAAACCTTTACCAAGATTCATACCATTACGATGAAGAAAAACAGTATATGACGCAGTGTTACTCAACATCCGTCAGTGGGTCGGGTTTACCTGCACATTTGGTGCGTGCTCTCAGCGGGGGCCCCGGGGCTCCGGTCCCTCCGTCCAGGGGCCGCGTCAGCAACACGCTGATCTCGTACTCCGTGTCGGGGTCCAGGTGGCCGATCTTGTGTGAGGTTTTGTCGACGGGCTGCAGGTCGTACATGGAGCCGGAGACGGTGCGGTACTCCACCTCGCGGCTCACGATCGGCCCGTCTCCGTTGATGGAGTTCGCGTTGAGCTGGATCCACAGATACGTGGCCCCGACCGCCATCAGCTGAGGAGGAGCGATGGGGACCGGCGGCTCTAGGGGACAAACACCACATCCAGTGTTAAAGGGGTCCTATAATGCGCTATTCACAAGATGCGAGTGTGTGTGTGTGTGTGTGAAGTTTCAGCTCAAAATACCCCATAGATATTTTTATATATTATGCTAAAATCGCCACTTTCTGAGGGTGAGCAAAAATGCGCCGTTTTTATATGTGTGTGTCCCTTTAAATGCAAATGAGCTGCTGCTCCCGGCACTGGGGGCGGAGCTACGAGAGCTTGTGTGTGTGGAGTTGACGATCTTCTAATCACTGATTAGCATATTCAGTCATGATAATCTATAAATAGTGTCCTGGGGGCGGAGTTTATGTAAATTTTAGTGTTTGTGATGTCACTAACGTGTGTGTAGTTCTACCGGCCGTTTGTTGTAGTCCTTAAAAAGTGCTTTCTGTAATAGTAAATCTCTCTGTTTGCTTTGAGCGTTGAGAGTCGTAACTTTGCAGATGTTGTTTACGCTCAAACTGCAACATCACATGAGTGACATCATAATCAATACCCTTTAATATATATAAAAAATACCGCCCCTTTAATAAGAGTGGGCAGCGGTCTGTGTGTGTTATTTCATACCGCGTAAATAAAAACAATAAAAATATAAAGCTTCGGTGAACAGAATCGAAGTCCTTCCGGCGACCAATCACAACGTTGCTCGCGTGTGAAATCAAACACATGTACAGTGTGTGTGTGTGTGTGTGTGTGTGTGTGAGAGTGTGGAAACGAACATCAACACTGATCCGCGTCTCCGTCCTCCGGCGAATAACGACTCAATATCGTTCATATTTACTGTATATCTACTCAGGAAAATGAAGAAGAGTGTGTGTGTGTGTGTAGTGTTTATCAGTCCACAGAGTCACGCATGTTCGTATTGACCGAATGCAGACGGTGACCCCAGACCGTGACCCCGGAATACCCATAATCCTCCACTGCTAATCAAACATAACCTCGAACGAGCCGCTTAATCCCGCTCTATAAACTCTGTCCGTCTCGCTTCGTCTTTAATCCACTCGTTTGTCTTTTGTCTGTAGTTTCACGTGCGCAGGGAGATACTGACCTCTGACCCCTGACCTCGACGGGTCTTCAGCGAATGTGAACGTCGTCATTCCTTGTAGGTGGACTTAAATTGGTAAAATGTGTGTGAGAGTGTGTTTGTTTGTGTGTAAGTGCGGTTTTGAGTGTGTATGTGTGAGACTGTGTGTGTGTATGAGCATGTGTGTGTGTGTGTGTGTCTCTATCACTCTCACAGAAGTCATCTATCAGCACACACTGAAGCGTGACCCGCGGGCCAGAGATCAGCCGCTAACAGGAGTTTAATGAAGCGCTTTATAGAGACATCCGTCACACACACACACTCAGACTTCATCAGATCGAGCTCAGAGTCACACACACACGTCATACACACACCAGACAGTTGAAAACAGCTGAAAACACCAGCAACCTGAAGCTGCGAAACACACACACACACACACACAACAGCAGCAACGAGCTGACGAGACATTCAGAAAAACTTGGCAGATGCTGTGAGCTTGTGTGTTTGTGTGTCTGTGAGTGTGTGTGTGTGTGTGTGTGTGATTATTAGGTTTCGGGGTAGGGTTAGTGTGTGTGTGTGTGTGTGTGTGTGCGTGCCTGTGAGCGCATGTGTCATGAGTTTAGGACGGTGGACAGCTGTGACCCGTTTCAGTAAGGCACCTGTCTGACACACACACACACACACACACACACGCATTTATATCTAATTTTGATCAGTTTTTCAGTAAACTATTTTGAATATGGTCAGTCATTGTTCTTGTTCTCCAGTAAACGTGTCGTGATGTACGAGTGTGTAGATGTGTGTGTTCTGGAGAACGAGACAGACACACTGAGGAGGAACACCATGTTTTGTCAGTGTATAAAACACAGAGGAGGCGGAGTCTCGTCTGGCCTGAGGGCAGAGCCACTGAACATGATTGACAGCTCTCGGTCGGGAGAGGCGGGATTAAAGCCATCAATCACAGAAAGCTGTGGGATAAAAACTACAGGAACATAAATTCAATTGAGCGAGAGAGACTAAGAAAGAGATATTGAAGGCCATTACCGGACTCTCTGAGAGCGGATCAGGATTTAGATGCTCTATAAATTCAAATAAATGACTGTTGAAGGGCTGCGTGGGAGAAAACACACACCTCGGTCAAGGGCGGCTCTCACAGCGACA